GGGGATAATAAGTAAGCCTTGTCTCATTGCCTTTTTGGAGAAAATGCGACCCTTCCCAAATTAGTGTAAAACGTCACACATTATCACCTACACCAAAGTGCTACTTTCTACGTAATAAGCTTCTGTACACTTTCTTCGTCCTCTTCAACACTCCCTCCCCAAACGTCGAAAGGTCGGTGGGTTCTCTGTAGGGCTGGGCAATGAGTCGCTTTAGCAAAATCCGGATACTATCTTAGTGCATCTCTTTGGCAAATAATATGATATGAACCGCTTCGGCAAATGGGTTAGAACCACTTCAACAAGCGGGTAGCATCATTTCAACAAATGGGTGCACCCACTTCGGCAAACGGGTCAAGAAATAAGAGAGTTAAGAGTCTGAATTCGGAAAGTGTTTCATTGAGAATTATCCGGTTATCCTATAGATTATCCGGATTTTGCCCACCTCTAGTTCTCTGGTGTGATTTGTTTCTTCTTTTGTATGATATTATTATATCTATTGTCAGTATCTCTCCTCCTTCTTTTCTTCATGGTAGCGCAGTTTAACGCACTGATCAAAACGTTCTGTCTTCGAAATGATCAACACGTGTCCAGTAAGGCGTTCAATTTCCTTAGATAGTTTTTGTAAGGTTTTGCGGCGCTCTAAACCTCATAGGGTCATATGAGCGCCAAAATGGTGGATGTCAACAGAGAAGTCCAAATGGAGAATCAGGCTTACTCTGCTCACCTTTCTGGCCTTAACAGCACAAAATCTGCTTCGACTATCAAGGCACCCCGGAAATAGCAGTTCACCAGAGAGTGACAAACATACAAAATAAGTAGAGGAAAATGACAATGGTAAGGATGAGGAAAGAAAAAACAGCAGCACCCCCGGCACAGTATGAGCATGACACTGATATATCAGCCCTTTTACAATTCTACTGTGCACAAGAACAGGTTAATATACCCTCTTTGGGAATGGACTAAAGACACTTCAGTCAGTAGCATTGCCCTCGGGTGGGGGGGGGTGGATTTCCATAATACACGAAGCACAAAACTTAAGTGCCTCTGATGTCCGAGTACCAGGTTTATTTCTCATGTCTCACTAGCTTTGCAAGTGAAACATCTCTACCACCAACAATAGTATACATCAATATTATTATATCAAAATATTACTACGATAAAGGGCTATATCAGACCTGAGACAATACCTAAGTGACCTGACACGAACATTCCTATACAAAAAGGTACACGTGCAAGAACACATTTTCAAGTTTAATTTCGATTTCTGTTTAAATGGATTTCCTCAAAACAGTGATATCTTTTTGCAGTAGACCATAACAGCATTGAAAGTGAAGGACAATCATTCAAAGAACACAAGTACGTCAGTCAGCATGAGATGAGGGGAGGAAGTACCTTATTATTTTATTATCTTTGTGGGAGAAAAAGTAACTAAATAGATATAGATAATGAATAACCATTGTTTCATTGGTTCAGGTAGAAACATCCCTGCATTCCGGACATGTCCATTGATGCTCCGTCGCTCTCTCCAAAATGCCACTGAGGATCTTTCTGCTGATAAATAGATACTGAATAACCAAAAATGAATAATCAAAGATCTTGACTCGGGGCTTTATTATCATTGACCGCTCTTAAGTTGTCCTCTTTCACATTCCGTGTTCATCGCCTTCCATCTCCTAGGAACTGCAATATGACGTCATCCGCTGAGAGGCCCTCTCAGGACCCGATGTTATATCGATGACAAGACGCGACGTCACACGGTCTTATCCCACAACCGAGGCGCCAGGGTTCAGCTGGAGTCTATCCAGTCTGCATACGTCAAACTGGAATATGCGGTCGCTTTTTGGGGGGGGGGGGGTGTGGAAGAATGGAGAGAAGAGGATATGATTATTTAGTATAACTATTTGGGACGTGTTTGTTAATGTCAGCAGAAAATCAAAATATCATCATCATAATTTCAATCATTCGGGGCAGCTTTTTTTGCCGTTCACCCTGGTGTCATTTTGTACCCCCGGGGTGGTGTTCTTCACATTTTAGAATATTTATAGTACGAAGATCTCTTTGAAATGTTCAGTATTTCTCAAAAAATCATTTTGACAGACTGCTATGCAAAGCGTACGCATCGGATAAACGAGCAAATTCCCTCTTTGGAAAGTGGTGGCACAGAGTTCGCCACGTCGTATGGATACGATAGTAAAACACGACGTACGGATAGGGTTAATTAACTATCAGGGTTGACAAGGACTGAGATGATCATATTATCCTACTCATTCAATCAGTTCAGATAGCTACGCTATTATAGTTATTTTTGTAAAGAAGGTGTTTTTTACGTCCTGGTCGACACAATTTAGATCATTTAGAAGGTGGGCTTCAATCCTGCATGCCGGGGCCAACTCTAGAAGAGAGGGATACAGCGTCCCAGCAGGAAACAGTAAAAAGTAAAGTTGTTCCCGTATCCGATCCGGACATTAGGGAGTGCCTGGTAAGTGAAACAACTTCCTAGGCCTTCGGCATATTGTGGTAGGGTGGCCAGTTCCTTTCCACACCGCCTTCACTTCCCCAACTCGAAGTCAGGTACCCGTTACTACTGGGTGGGCAGTAGGAGGCGAAAAACGTCCGTGTCCGAATACGGGACAAAAATTCATCCTACCCAGGAATCAAACTCATGTCTTCTGTGCGCCACGGCGAGGCGCCTAACCGCTACACTACAGACGCCTGTAAAGGCTGAGTGTTGTACAAAATCCCACCAGAAAGACAGATATTATACTCAATAAAATAAATAGCAAAACATGGAAATAGTTCATAAAACAAATGGGGGTTATCATGTTCTACAGGTTAAGGTGTTCGCCTCTCATCCAAAGGTACCAGGTTCGAATCCGGGTAGCGACGGTAAAAAATCCTTCTCTAAAATTGTTTCCTCTCACCTCCTTTCCTGCTCTCTAGCAATAATCTGTTGTCTGCTCTAGTCTCCACTTTTCGCTTCCACCACCTCACCTCCTTTGCCCCCTCCTCTGGGCTCCTGGCTCTTTCTGCAGCCTTTCTACTGCTACTGCTTGGCTTCTTCTTACTGCTTTCTTTCTGCCACACCCCTGATCTTCTGGTAAGAAATATCTACACCTAGCCTTCTCGGACAAGGGCAAAAAATCTCGGAAGCCCTGTGTGCAAGTTGCGCACGTTAAAGATTCTTTGATGGTCTAAATTCGATAAGAGTAGGCTTCAGCCGCCATCTGGGCAAAATTAAAATGTTAAATGTGTCCCGAGCGCTCATATGATCTTATTATGCAGTTACGAGCGCCGTAAGACATTTATCAAAACATAACAAATATTAGAAATAAAACAAATGATCAAAAAGCTCACTTCTTGCTGTTGTCGTGCACGCTTGTCATCCCCCGGAGCACCCAGCCGTCCGGCACTGTGTAGTTGAGCAGCTGATCGTAGCTGTTCACATAACCCGTGTATTCGCAACCGTGAGTGACCAGATCTGGGGGTGGAAAAGAAAAGAAAAGTAAAGTTGTTCCCGCTTACGATCCGGACATTGGGGATTGCCTTGTTAGTGAGACAACTTCTTGAGCTTTTGGCATATTGTGGGCTAAAACAGCACCTGGACATGGATGGCTGGTGCCTCTATAAATACATTATTGATGGTCTGGCATATTGTGGTAGGGTTGCCAGTTCCTTTCCAGGCGCCTTTACTTCGTTAACTCGAAGTCAGGTACCCATTACTGCTGGGTGGGCAGGAGGGGGCTAGGTGAGGAAAGTCTACGCAAAACCTTAAGCCTTTGATTTTATTAACAAAAATATTTTACGTACCATTTGGTCTGCAACAGTAGAACTTAAAACGTCTGTCTTCAGGGTGGTTGTCGTGGTAACTGGAAATCCCAGCAACAACATTGTCATTAGGGCATTGGTACTCTATGAGTTGATCGAAATCGTTCACGTAGTCTGGAGAAGAATGATAAAAAAGAAAATATGTAACCACTAAAACTCTTCCAACGTAGTTAAATACCTCATTGTAGCAAATTACTATCTAGGTAAGCTTAAACATTTATATTAATAGCCTACTTTGCACGATTCAAAGCTAAACATCCCTACTACCATCATGCCCACGAAAAGCAGCAAAAATCCCAACAACAAGAGTAATAATCACACATCTTTATCAGTCAACAAAAACGGCATTATACTATTTTTTATCACTTGCACATTTATATGAGATTGACGCCATCTGATTAGTAGAAAAAAGTGCGTATGATAGTGTCCTATAGTGTATTACGTGCAAACTTAGTATAACAAGTAACTTACATATAGAGGTTCCAGGATTATAGATGTAAGTCATTGATCGGAGTTGTTGTTGTTGTTGTTATCGATCCAGCAACAGCTGGGCTTTCGCCCTTCTGTCCAATGCCATGTAGTGATAAATGCAGGTCTGCTGCAGTTGCTGTAATGTTCCATAGAGTGTGTTGTCTATGTTAGGTCTCGGAGGGAGAAGGGTAGCTCTGATGTCATTTAGGGCTGTGCAGTGGAACATGTGACATTGATCGGAGAGCGGTGATGATTTTAGAAATAATGGTGGTGATGAGTGATGGTGGTCGAGAGGGCACAATTTTACACATAATATTGTATCCCCTTGCCTCAGGGGGAGCTAGATGCATCATACTCACTGCTCCATTCACACGTCAGTTCCACAAAAGTCTCCGGAAAGTACAACAAGATCAACGGGATACAGGTGAAGTCAAAGACACGGTCTTCTTTGTTGTTGTCGTGAACACTCAGGATACTCTGATGGAGGTAGAAGGAAAAATACAAATCTTGTGAAGAAACGTAACCGTAATATTATATTATAAGGGCAGATATGTGACAGTTTGCTACGTTAGTTGATCTCGAACATTCAAGATGGTCCACTAATGTCTTTTCCAAGTCAGTTTTGTCATCAGGGCGGGGCATTGGTGTGGTGGTTTGGGGAAGGGGGGGGTGGGACAATGTAGAAAAAAAAGGAAACAAATCCCATTTTTAATGATAAGTTTGTGACTCATCGTTTTTCCAACTTTCCAGATTCATTGAATCGATAGAGTAGCCATAGATGGCTTGTCAACCATGGTCTCTCTCTCTCTCTCTCTCTTTCTTTCTCCCTCCCCCCTCCCTCTCTATCTCTCTCTTTCCCTCTCTCTCTTTGTCTGTCTCTCTTTGTTTGTCTGTCTGTCTCTCCCTTTCTCTCCCCCTTTCTCTCTCTCTCTCTCTCTGTCTGTCTGTCTGTCTGTCTATCCGCCTGTCTCTCTCTCTCTATCTGTCGCTCTCTTTCTCCCCCTCTCTCTCTCTCTTTTCTCTCTCTTTCTCTGTCTGTCTCTCTAACTCCTTCTCCCCCTCTCTCCCTCTCTTTCTCTCTGTATATGTATTATTTATCTATCTATCTAGTTCTGCACCTATGTTCCTTTTCCTTGCACCGTGCTTAGGAAATATGGCCCTGACAATCCCTTGTGGTCGGCAGATGTCAGATGTGTCCATGTCATTGACGTCCAAAAAGCTCAGGATGTTTTCACCGGGCCAGCTGTCGTGTCTGTTTTTCTTTTCATATTTAACTGGTTTTTGTTACGTTTTGTTTTTTGTTTTCAGCTTTTAAGAAAAAAATTTGTACTGTGATCTTTGAGGGGAGATTTCTATGAGTTTCCGAAAGCCACGTATCTAAAACACTTTAGTAGTTCACATACTGTCTGCTTTAAAAATCACTATTTTTTAGAAGTGAATCGAATAACTACAATTGTTTTTGTGTTCAATACAGCACACTAACTACGTAAACAATACATATGTGGCTCTTGTGGTCTAGAGGTTAAGGTGTTCACCTCTCATTCAAAGGTACCGGGTTCAAATCCGGGTAGGGACCGAAAAAAATCCTTCTCTAAAATTGTCTCCTTTTACCTCCTTTATTGCTCTCTGGCAATGTTCTGTTGTCTGCTTTCGCCTCCACTTTCTTCCCCCATCCCCTCATCTCTTTTGCTCCCTCCCGTGGTCTTCTGACTCTTTCTGCAGCCTTTGTACTGCTACTTCTTTGGCTACTTCTTACTGCTGTCTTTCAGCCACACCCCTGATCCTCTGGTAGGAAAGATCTACACCTTGCCTTCTCGAACAAGGGCGGAAAATCTCGGAGGTCCCGTGTGGATGTTGCGCACGTTAAAGATCCCTTGCTGGTCTGATATCGATAAGAGTAGGCTTCAGCCGCCACCAGGCAAAATTCAAAATTTCCTACCAACTGAAAATGTTTAAAGTGTCCCGCTCGCTCATATGACTTTATACAGTTGCGAGTGCCGTAAAACACTTACCAAAAAAATAATGAGTTAAAAAAGTTAAGAATGTTTTCACGGAGCCAGCTGTCATGTCAATTTATTTTATTTGGTGGGTTTTTTTACAGTTGTTTTTATTTTTTGCTTTAAAAAGAATTCTTTTGTAATGTGGTCATTGCGGGCAGATTTCTATGAATTTCCGAAAGAAATGTATCTAAAATACATTAGTGTTTCGCTTACTGTCTGACTTAAAGTGACTTTTTAAAAAGTGGGCCGGATAACTACATTTGTTTTGTGTTCAATACAGCACACTAACTACTCTAACAATACGTTAGCTAGTAGTTAAGAAGTGTATATTGTATGCTCGTTTTATTTGCACTGCAGGCCCCCGACTTCAATATAATAATGAAATTTTAAATTATTAGTGGCAAAGACTCTATACACCTGGCACAGAACCGAAATCTGCACCTCCCCACGACATCCTACGGATACCAGAAGAAGGAAAAAGTAAAAGTTAAGTAAGACAAAGTACTTAGCATGATTATATGTCATGACGCGATGGAATCAGGCGCTGGTCAATTTTTGGGCACATAGAATTATTGGTATCATCTTAAAGCTTGTTCGTATGTCTTGCTCTTGACAAAAACAATACCATCTATCTTGAATAGAAGTCAGGATATTTGCCATTGAAAGAGGTGGGGGTATCCTGGTGACAGAGGTAAAATTTGCAAGAAAATGGCTGTTTA